GGGGGGGGGGGCGGCGATCTCGAGACAGTCGACAAAGCTAGCTATGAGAGTTGGAGACAAGGTACTTGCATTACACAAAGGAGGAGGGGACAGGGAAGGCTCGTGGAGAGAAGTGCTCAAATGGCGCGGGCTGTACGTAGTCTGTGCCTTTAGTAACCAGGGGTCCTGTCACGTCGTGCAGGAATGGGGGAGAGAGGGGAGTGGGTTAAATCACAGACCAAACCAGCGGAGGCCAAGGACAAAGAGCCCGTGTCAATCGCCCCGACCAGTCCGACTGTGGCCGGTTCTCTACCAGGCGGCGCATAATGACAACGAAGTGAAGAAAAACGGCACGGAGACTGCCGAGCGAGGGAGGATAGTTGTAACCACAAGCAAGCTCTCGCGTTGCCTGACACTCCACCAGGTTGTTGCGTTCCATTCCGTAGGTGTTCGTCGGGACCAAGGTAAGGTTCGGAGCGAGTAGGGTACATGATGCGTCCTCTCTCTGTGTACCAGACCTGGTGCGGCGTCGTGAGGCCATGTACCGACATGGATGAGACGCAATAGGGTGGGCGAGGTGGGCCACCACCTATTGATGGAAGCTGTCCGTATGGCGCAAATGGCAGACTGTGCACAAGCTTTGAAGGGCCTTGGTTGCTGATGGATGCCGAGCTGGGGCGGCTCAGACGACGGGTAGAGAGTTGTCATTGGGTGCTGCATGGATATCAACCGCAGGCTCATATTCGAGAGAGAGGCAACAAGACTCTCTCTTCTAGTTGGTACAGTGAAGATCACTTTTGGTGTGGTCATGCTCGGGTATTGAGGTCATGCTCGAGGATAAGGGACCAGGCCCAGGAAATGCAAAGGAAGAAGCGAGTGGGGTTGCTGATGTCGTGAAGGAGGGCCTTTCTGTTGTGTGCTCGTGCGTTCCGTCTCCTTGCTCCTGGATCACAACTCTGGGAGATGAGCGTTGTTTGACGGCGAGTCAGCTGACTTACAGCCAGTGGTCGAGGGGAAGACCAGGGAAGAGAAGGTGCAACGGGGACAACCCCGTCAGGAACAGTGTCAGGTGGAACCTGCTAGCGAATCGATTGGTCCAGAGGCCCCCGTTCGGAGCCCTGTTGGGCATGTACCTGTATGTGGCAGCAGGTATATCGGAAGGTAAGTAAGTTTAGGTAGGCACCTGTAAGGTGAGGCAGGTAGAGGTTATAGCAGGTTATAGAAGATTATAGCAGGAACGTCTAATTCAGGTGTAGACGAAGCATGTCTGAAGGGGAAAGAACAACCCGGCGTCCGTCGGCAAGGCGATAGACAGCTCGGAATGGAGCGCGCGACATTTCGGAAGGAAGAGAAAGTAGGTGACTCGTGCGGGCCATGCGCCTGCCATGTCTACAGCAGACAAGAAAGAGGTTGAACAGTGTGGGTTTCCGTTGCTCTTGCTGTCTTCAGCAGACAGACACCTTGTCTGCATTGCGTCTGCGCCGGCCTTTGCATCTCCCGCCTGCATGTTTACCGCATCTCTTCACGTCACAATGAATTCAGCCGAGTCCAGCCCTTTGATATTGGCAGCCCTGTCCCGTCACTTGCCTTTTGTTCACCGCAAGCAGCAACAGCACACGGCACACTGCACGCGGCACACCCAGCAACACCTTGCCGATCCAGACCTCCAACCTGCTCAAGGCCCAGCATCGTGACCAGAACTCGTTGGAGCGCGCCCCCCGCCCCCCGCCCCTGGCTGATCCCAGCACCTTGCAGCGCATGCATTCTTCACAGGCCAGCTCAACTGGGAGTTACCTGCGTAGGGCCCCGCGCCTCCACGATGCCTGCATATGCAAACTTGCCCGCCATCCATCATCTTCCCCGGTCTGCCCTCGCAGCCTGGCCTGATAGCCCAGTGAGTTTGTGCGAGGGATACTGACTGGCCAACGACGGAGCTCTAAGACAGGCGGGGTGGGGGGTGGTCCACCCCCTCTTCGTCATCCACGACGACAATGCTTCGAATATTTGGTCTCCACCGGCGTCCGAATCCGACATGGATATCTCTCCACGGCGACCAGAGTGCGGCCATGGCCATGCCCGCTGGCAGACATATCCGCCGTTTGGCCTTGCCGTCTCGTCCCTGCCGCATTCCCCCTCCCTCCCCCCAAGTCTGCAACCAGAGAGCGAAAGCACGATAGTTCCACTGGACGAAATCACTCGGCTTGTACGGATAACGGCCGCAGAACTACAAGGTATCCGCCCAATTGGCAGTGGCCCCGCAAACACGCCAGTGCGCACAGGCTCCAAAGACCACCTGTCTGATGGGTACATGTGCCGGTCCCTCGAACGTTACGGGTCTTGCGGGTGTGCCAGGCGATCAGAGCTTTCCAGGCACAAATCCCGATCCAGCAGAATCCCTCCAACGCCCGCTCGACCTCCCTGGCTCTGGCCACCTTGCCCTGCCCCCTAGGCAGACCAGGCCGGTTCCCCAGCAGCCCCAGCCATCCATCGCCTCCTGTCAAACTCTCAGACCCTCTCTTCGTGCCCACATCGCTGCCGCACTGCAAGTACCAAGTATTCGTACGGAGAGGCGGTTCCTGTTCTTTCCATACCTACTTCCAGGGGGCTGCCGGTTCCGCGAAGTCTTCTTGCACAATCTTGCACCTCTGTACTGGATGCACACCCGCATATCTCCCCTTCATCCGCACTTGGCATTCAACTATTCGAGTCGCGCAGGCGGCCGGCTCATCATGGCTAGCTCCCGGTCGATGTCCCGTTCGCGCCCCAGCTCGAGCCGCCTTCGCCCTACACACAGCCTAGCCGAGTC